CTGCCCCTACCTGCTTGGCATCTAATTTCTGCTTAATGACATCTCTTATAATACTAAATTGATTCTTTTATGTTAAAAGGAGGCAATACTGGGCTTGAACTACTTTTCCTTCAACCAACATCTCAAGCTTCTTATATCTTTAAGTGCAGTTTCCTCCAAAAGGGTGACCTTCAATATACTCCAAGGCGTGTTCTTACACAAGCTCATTCAGCTCTTGGAGCTGCCTCCTTGGGCCTCTGGACTGAGGTAGAAAAAAGAAATGGTTTACTGGAAGAAATCACCATGGACACTGAATTTACAGCCACTGTGTGCATATAGCAACAGGAATTTGGCCTGGAGCTAAGGAGTCATCAGGGCTTTATCTTTTGATATAGGCAACCTGCAAAGGTCCTCCAGACAGCAATGGTAATTGTTCCATCTTACTATAGAGGTCTCAATGCCCCTACTCTTTGTCCCTGCACTTGTCCTGGCATAAGGAGATGCCAGGAGGTGAGCAGAGCCGGAGGACAGGCTGCACCTGTTGCCTGGGATGAAAGGGAGATTAGAATTGCTTGGTTTTGCGCAGCACATGAGTTACCCCCTAACCAGACTTAGCTCTCTTCAGGCTTCTCAGCCCTCTGAGTAGCAAGAAGGGCTTCCTTGCGTTTTGAGTAGGCTCAAGTCAGTACAAGCCGCTTGGGTGATGAATCACTAACCCTTTTATCAATTTCCCACTATCCACAGAAGTTAATAGGTACCGGGCATCGAACTCACAACCACACGCTTGCAAGGCAGGCGCTTATGCCGCTGAGCTAAATTCCCAGCCCCAATAGGCCACTCTTCCTGTTTCTCTCATTTTTCCTTTCCTTCAACCAACCGAGTGTCCATTTAGCCTATGTCCCCTTTCTTGGAAACTCTGTGTTACTTTGTCGTCTGGTGTTTTCATGTGAACAAGGCTGGTCTCCAGCTAGTCAGGAATAACAGCCCCTCATACCTGGAAGGCACTTGAAGCAGGAGACTCCCTGGAAAGTGAAAAAAAAATTTTTTTTGAAGCCCAGACCCTGCCCCAGAATAAGCAGCTCAAAACTTCACAGGTGGAGACCTCCAATCAGGACTCTGTAAAATCCAGGTAGTCCCAGGAAGCAGTCAAGGTGAAGTAGTGCTGCTTCGGACCTCTGGAGTCTGCCACAAATCTAAGGATATGTGGGCCTCATGCCTAGCTGGGAAGGAACACAGAACAGATATTATCCAGTTCTAAACGAAGAAACTGAAGGTTGAGAGGTATACGCTAGATAGAGGCCACCAGCAGGACAGGGTCTTGAAATCAGGCTCTGTCTCCTGAGCTTGGTGCTTTTAGTGCTTACTTGAGCTCCATAACCACTGTCAAATGCAGAGTGGGGTGATTTTGAGCTTCTGTGTCTGCCACAATAGCTGACTTGATACTGGGCACACAGAGGGTTCCGAGAGCAGGCACTGAAGGACTGAACACCCAAAGGTTGATATCCAGCTCTGCACTGTGCTCCACCCTCTCCTGAGGTTGGAAGTCTTCGCTCTGGGCCTGGTCAAACCCTTCCAGCTTTCTAGAAATGTCCATTGTTTGACACATTGTGTCAATTTGAGATGTCTCTTAAAGAGACTCAGCAGGGAGCCAGGATCCTTTGTAAATTCCTCTTAGGGTGCAAGAGGAGGGCACAGAGATATTGTGAGTGCTGCATCTGCTCTGGGGGGTGAGGAGTGGGTGGTGGGCGGGTGGCCTGCACACAATATAAGGAAAGAAAGACTTGCTCTCTCCTTTTACTCTGGCTGCTGCCTTGAAGTGTAGCCCCAATGACATGCCACCCTGTCTTGGATTCAGCTGATTATAGACTGAAACCTTGACAAACAGTGAGCTAAATAACTCCCTTCCTTCATTTTGGGTGTTGGGTATTTCGCCCCAGCAACGAGAGAAAAGTAACCAAGACATCCATGGACAGGCACCTCAAGAGAGGCCATGAAACACCAATGGAGTGGCCAGGACAGAGCTGGCCTAGTGCCCTGTGCCTGGATGCTCTGCATTAGTCATAAATGCCTTAGCCTTAGCTTCCCTAAGGCGACCATCGTATTTACTCTAAAGGAACTGCCAAGATTCACACCTTTAGCTTTAAAACCAAGATGAGATGGTCACTCTGCTGACCTCTCCCCAGTCCTGGCTGACATATTTTCCCTAATGGGGATCCCCTGCCTCCTCCCTTTACTTTGCTGATTACTGCTGGTGAGGGCCTATCACCATATTATCAATGGCTGTGACTGTTCTGCTTCCTTTGGACTTGGGCACAGCAGCATCACAGGCCCATTTATACTCATTTCTGCTACCTGCATGGCCTGAGCTTATACGCCATTTTGCAGGCCATTTATTCAACAGCTCCTGAACATCTATTATGGGCAAGGAATGCACAAAGTTCCCTGCAGAGCAATGGAACAACCATTCTGCCAGGAAAAGCAGGGCTAGAGAAATATTGGTGACAGGTTCTTGGAGGTGACATGGAATGGTGGGCTTACCTCTGACACAGCCAGAGGAAACATCCTATGTGAAGGTCCAGCTTCCAAGAGTGTGCAGTGTTCTGAGGCCAAGCAGTCAAGGTGCATGGAGTGCTGGTCCAAGTGCGCAGAGGGCTGGAGGTGCGCTGGAGGTACCAGGATGGGCCACTCTGTCATACTATGGTGCTTTACGAGGTAGGCCCAGTGGTATCAGTCATCAGGGATTGGCTCTACTCACTTGCCAAGGATTAGGCTCATTTCCAAATTAGATGGAAGAATTAGGTTTCCATCCTCTCCAGCTGGTCCCCCAGTCCACGGAAATGACCTAGTCTTGAGATGACATTCCTGTCTTGTCTCGTCCACACTTGAACACTGCAATCTCCTGGGCAGTTAGTTCCCAGTGCCTGGGCCCCGGTCAATTAATCAGAAGGGGTTGAGATAAAATCCATGCTCATGCGGGCATTTCTAAAAGATTCCAAAGGAATCCCAGTGTAAAGGCAACATTGAAAACCTGGTACTAGAGGACACAAGGAGGTCAGATTATCACAAATGGTTTGTGGTGGGAACTTACCAAGGGGCCAAACAACTGCCAGCTTCACCCTTGCCTTTCACCTGTTGTTTCCTTTTCTCATGTGTCACATGAAACAAAAGGACATAAAAGGGGCACAGAGGTGGTGGCGATGGGGGATGATACCACACTTTGAGAAATCAGACAGCTAGCTGAGGTTTTGGAGGTCATTTTTGGTCACACTCAAGAGCTTCAGTAGCAGCCCAGAATCAACAAGAATTTGGACTCTAAAGGGAATCCAACAAAATACACTGTTGCTTCCACTTCCTGAGGGACCAGACAGGACTCAGCTCAGTCACTGGCAGGGAAATGCTGCCCTCTAACGACAAGGCTTAGGTACAATTTCAATCTTCCACGTCCACAAATGCCTCCCATCTTTTCCTCTTACCCCAACCACCAGCTGAGTATTTTAGAACCATGTGAAGTCTCAATAGTCTGCAAGCAAATGTTTTACAGCTAAGCTCTCCAGCCTGGCAGGCAATCCAAGCCCTTCAGTGCCCCTCCTCTACCTCTGCCTGACCCCACCCCATCAGCCTCTTTAAGGGAATCCCAAAGGCAGGTTGGTGCAGTTTGAGCAATGAGCTGGTCAAAAGACGAGCCAACTTCTCAGGGATTCCTTGTGGGGCCTCCAAGTATTCACTAAAGCTCAGTCTACACAGTGGGAATGCCGGACATGCTATAATTCAGAGGGTTGGTGATTAGTGATGCTGGAAGGTAACTTTGCCTGATTTCCAGTAAGGAAGTACAAGGGTCTTCTCTTTAGAACAGGAGGCACATTCACCCCACAATACCATATTTCGGTCTGCTAAAGCTTAAAGCCACAACCGAGTGTGTCGACAGGGTTTTATGACTTCTTTTTCCACACGATATTTTTCTCTGATCTGATTTTTGTGGCCCTCTGTTTATGCTTTACTGTTTTAGTCATGGCATTATTTTCCTTAGCACACTCCCTTTCCCATGACCATTACTGTGCTGGGGATGGAGCCAAGGGCCTTGCAAATACTACGCAGATAATCTACCACTGAGCTAAACTCCCAAGCCTCGTAACTTCCAATACATCTCCCAGCTTTTCTGTGAAATAAGGCAGGCTATAAACAAGACTTTTATGAATGAGTTCTATTCTGGGAGCACTTGGGAGTCTGAGACAGGAGGACTGCTGTGAGTCTGAGGCCAGCTTGGGCAACAAAGTGGCCACCCTGAACTGTATAGTGAAACTCTGTCTCAAAACAAACAAATAAAAAACGTACAAAAAACAAACGAAGAATAGATCCCAGAAATCTGCACTTTAAAGTTTCCCAGATGCCTCTGGAACAGCTGACTCTACCTCTAATCACAAAGCAATGTTTGAGACTCTCTGGCCTGAAAACACACCAAGAGTCATTACTCAACAATGAACGATGCTTTTACAAAACACAATTTTCTAAATAAAATAAATCTCAACTTTATTCAGCTGATGTTCCAGAAACAATGAGTGCAAATCCAAATTTTCGAATCAAATCTATTTAAATTCAAAAGATCAAGGGGCTTTAGGAAAAATTCAGCAGTGAAAGTTTCTACAAAATCAAGATTCCCTCCTAGTTTGGCTTTTCTTAAAGTGGGCACTCCTGTAACACACACGCCGTAATAAACATATTCCAGGTTTCTCCTTGCAGCCCATCTATTTCAAACCGCTACAAGCATGCCAACTCTTACACCAGGTGGCAGAGGCTACCTGCTTAGGTTTTCAGTCAGCTCCACCTACAAACTCATCTCACCTCCCCTAGAGGGCGCTCCTCTCCTGGCCTACTTGAGATAGCTGCACTGTGGCACTCAACCGCCACTGTTTCTCACAGGGCACTGTATGCAAATGAGGGTGGACAGGTGACAACAACTGCCTCTGTCCTTGGGTCTCCAGATGCATGGCTTGTTTCCTAGCCCCAGGTAGTAAAGATCCACACAATGTTCATAAATTTTATTCCAAAGTAGGGCAAACTGGCTTTGAAAAGGCAGCATGAAGGTTCAAGGCTAATGATCACTATAAAGGCAAGTGTGGAAACAAACACTACCAAAAGATGTCCTATCAGCCAAAGGACAGGCGACTGGAGAAGATGCTGCCTCCCAGAGTTCAAGTCCAATGTCTCAGCTGTGACTTCGCACCTTCCTCCGAAGTGTACCGTATGGGAGGATCCTCAAGTTTCCAGGGAACAGGGCAGCCAAGTCTGTACAGTCTAAAAGTCCATTCTCCACCTTTCCAAGACCTCTGTTAGGTGAAACGAAAACTTCAGATGGTGGCTTATTCAAAGTGAGATTTAGTTTTGAAGGTGTTACAGTTCGTCTGTTCCCACTCTAGACCCCTGTTTTCATTCTGTAGATTTGTCAATCTTTTCTAAAATGGGCCAAGATGCTTTCTTCCTGGAAACCTAAGGCTCTTGTTTGGTCCAAATTAGGAGCAACAGATATCCTATCTGACCAGAGGTGTGAAATTAATACCCAGGAAACTCATGTTAAAAACTGTGACAATTAAGGAAATCCACCAGAGGGGGAACTCTGTCACAGATGTGCCTGAAAAGAACAATAATGCTACAGAAACAGGTAAGGGAGGTAGAATGGAATACATACAATAAAGAGGAAGAAAATTCAAGGAAAAAGGAATAAAACATGGGTAGTAAGTGGGATAAGGCAATCAAAGGTAAGGTTAATACTGACCAGGTTTTCAATTCTTCTAGGAAACTTAGTGTCATTTTGTCTTGCCATGAGTCTACTATCATGAACAAATGACCAGGTCTCGCCAGTACTTTGATTAATCACATTTGATTTGATTTCCGAGATTGACTGACTTTATAATAAACTCTGCAATGCAGTGGGTACTGGTATGGCCTTGACCCACAGCAGCGCTGAAGATGAACAGTCTTGGTCCCTGCAAACCTTATAAGGACATACACACCTGGAACATCTACAGGGTACCCTACTCTGGCTGAGCAGAACAGGGGCTTGGCTGGCAGCTGCTAATGTATTTCAAGTGAAAGAGAGGCAAAAATTAAAGAGCTGTTAGAGATGAGATTATAACTGACAGACCGCTTACCTCTGCTCACTGCTACTTTCTAATGCATCTAAAGCCAAGAGTCAACCATTTCACTAACAACTGGAAAAAAAATCAGTAACTCAGGCCCCTTGTCTCCAGCCTGAGTACTCCTAGGGACTACTCTGCCTCACTGCAGGAAGCACAAACACCTAGCAACTGTGGTGTGGAAAAGCTTACATGTTATCAGCAACAGCTTCCTGTCCCTGCTTCCCCTGGGTAGCTGCTTCCAGGGAAGGATGACAAGTGTCAGCAGTTAGTCATCTATGTGTCATTTTTTGAGGAGAAGGGGTGGAGAGGGTGTCAAGAAGAAAGCGTATGAATCAACCTACAGTGGGCACAAGAAAACAAGGCTTCTTTCCTCTCTGTTCACTTGTACTCCCGCTGACCCACTAGAAGCTGCAAAGGCCAGATGATGACAGTGTGGACAGTCCCACATACAAGGTTCCACTGTAGCAGCCTCCCAGGGTGTGGACACCAGCTGTGTGGCTAAAGCCACCGAAGTCATCCCTTCTTTCCCTTGGTGAGTAAACTGAGATGTTTTTATTTCTCAGGACCACATATCTTGGTGGCACTAGCTCTCCCTCCACGACGTCAGGAAAAACAGGTTTGAAACTGGATCACAATCACTCCTGAGTGGTATTCACAGTTAAGGTGGGCGTACATTTCAAAAGGCGGCCTCTGGACAGCCCTCTTTGCTCTCTCGCACACATACACTCACAAACTCTCACTCGTGGGAATGTCGTCCAGCTACTGGGCATGGCTGGCTCATGTCAGGTACTGAACCACAAGGAACATGACTACACAGGTGAGGAGCATTCCGCCGATCATCAAATACTTGTCCTGGAAAGCCCGCTTTTCAATGAGGCGCATCACTGTGTTGGACAAGCCCAGCATGTTGGCAATGTCAAGAATCTTCTTCTGAGTCCCCTGGGGAAGATGAGAAGATAAAAATAATGATCAATCTGCCTGGCCAAAGATGGATAAAGGTCATAATAAACTGAGGCTTTACTAATGGACAATCTCTTGTTCTTGGTCATAAAGAAAGCAATATCTCCAAGAAGCAGACTCATTCTCCTATGGTCAGTTGGTACCTCCACAATGCGAAAGAAAAACAAAAATGTTTTTCCAGACAGTGCTGGAACCACTAGCTATGTAATAAATTATCATATATACATTAAACATACACATGTATATTTGATATAGTGTAAAAATGTACCTTGATTTCACATTCTATATAAAAATTAACTTGCGATGGGTCATAAGAATAAATGTAAAAGCAAAACTATAATAAAGCTGAAAAAACCCCATGATATCTAAAAACTGGAAACAATGCCAGCCTCTATCAACCAGTGGATAGATATACAAATTATATTATCTGCTCAATGGAATAGTGCTTGGCAATAAAAAGACCTCATCACCATATGTAACCAAAAACGTAACAACATGAATGAACCTTAAAAACATTAGTGGAAGAAACCACAGAGAAACTAGTAGTAGGAAATATAATTATGCAAAATTCAGTAACAGGTAAAACTGATTTATAGTGAGAAAAATTAAAACAGTGGTTGCCTCAGTAGATAGCCCATATGACTGCAATGAGGCAAAAGGATCTTTCAGAAACAATGCAAATGTCTGTAATTTGAAAGAAATATGAGTAAACAGCTAGCTGCTTTTATCAAAATTCACTGAAATGTACAAATAAGATCTAAACACTTCACTGTAATATAACTAGGACTCAATAACAAATTTAAATGTAGACTTTTAAATTAAGGAAAAAATATTTTAAAAACTCTTCTTTGGTTGCCTAGCTCCAATAATCCTTGATATTAACCTGTTCACTTTGTAGAGTAGAACCTTCAGAGATTTTATTGTGTGCAAATGTGTGTGTGGATCAAAGTCCGTATTTACAAGAGGATTTGGAGTGGGAAAAAAAAGGAAAGACAGAACACGACAAACACAATCAATGACTTAAAAGCCCTTACAGAAATGTCACTTGCTACCACCAAGAGGATTCTCAAACAGCACAAATCATGCAGCCTTTCCTTTCTTAAACCTAATTTTAAAAAGCACATTCAATTTCTTATAAAGTAACACGTATAAATAAAGACAGGACAGACCACATCCACTATACTTGAATAGATGGATCTACCTATAGCCCCACATTCATTTTCCTGCCAAAGACACATTAACCAGTAACAGAGAAGAGGCCAGGGAAGCAAGAGTAACAGGAGGCATAGTGGACAAGGACTTAGAACCAACATTCTGCTCTGACAAGGACCAACAAGTTTTATCAAGGGCTGGGGATGTGGCTCAGTGGCAGATCACTTTCCCAGCATTCTTATCCCTGGGTTCCATACCCAGCATAACACAAAAATGTGAGGTGTGCATGCATAGGTATTACAAGTCAAACTTGTCAGAGGAGACCAAAAAGATGCTTCTTTCCCATGACAATGAAAATGAGACTTGCTATCAACCTTGTCTAGTTCTGAACACATAGGTTACTTCATCATATAAGGTTTAAAGATCAGGCTCCTAAAACCACATGAAAGTGGCCACTGAATTTCAAAAAATATATCTATCTTTAACCACAAATTAGTCCAAATCGTGGTGCTTTTTTTTTTTTCTTTTTTATCATTACCAGGAATCGAACTCACGACTGCCTGCTTGCAAGGCAGGCGCTTATGCTACTGAGCTAAATCCCCAGCCCCTGAAATCGTGGTACTTTAGCCTACTTCCTTCACACTCTCTCTTGTATTCCTTTCAAATTGTTTAGGCAGAAAAATTCCCTGACAGGGACAGGTGGAGGGAATCAAGAAACAAAAGGTAGGTAGCAGGAGGTGAGCCCGAAACCTTGAGGCTAAACCCCCAACCACCCAGACAGAATTCCAAGCACTCCATCCCTCAGAGAAGTACGTGATGCCACACTTCAGCAGACAGCTAACATTTTCTTTAGCAGTAACTCTAACTCTAACTGCTGTTCTTTGGTGTGACACGGAGTCTTGTCCTGAAAAGGTGACACATTTTCTGAGATATGGAAAAGGAGAACAGCAGTTCTTTACAGAGAGGGCAGGCCTGTCAGTGTGTGTCTGTCTACAGCAGGTGGCTGTTCTGCAAGACGAACACCCAACATTCCTCTGAAACGCTGCAGCTGTCAGCAGGAAGCCAGCATCACCAAAGCTTGCCCGATCCTCTCCCTGGTAAAGATGGCACAGACTGTTAAGAAATGTGCCAGAGTCTTGTGAAACTGACTGGTTCAATGGATCCAAAAAAAACTAAGATAAAGCTCACGCTCCTAAGTGACTATTTCTCACAGTTAAGTGGCTAGGAGTGCTTCATTCCAGGGCCCACACCCTGATAATAGGCAGAGCCCACACCCCATTAGCTACCGGGGCTGATTCAGGAAAAGGGCTGAGGCCAAAACATCCCCACTGACATCACAGTCTGCAGTGTTTCTGTAAACCACTCCCAGGGGTCAGAGTTTTAGCAGTGGCATGGGTCAGGGCTTCTGGGAATACCTGCAGCTGCAGAGAAGAGCAGAATCACTGGAAAGCACCATTGTACGCTTTATAGGTTACCTACTACAGTGTGAAGTCAGCCTTGGGAACCCCCTCTGAGGATTCAAGGCAGCTCACAGCTGGAACTCTAAGGAAAAACCACCTAGACTGTAACTACACTGTCAGTACAAAAGCTGATCCTTTAGAAATTCTCAGCCTACTACTGGTTCCTCAGTCAACTTCATGAAGGTTCAGTACAGAAGGAAAGACTTGATACCAAGAGAGGCCATTTGATGGGTTATTTCAAGCAGTGGCAAAGGAAATTTGGTTACTTTGGGGCTTATAAAACTTCATCCTCAACACAAGGGATCACAAACTCAAGGGCTCTGTCTCATCAAAATTTGGGGACATGTAATCAAAATATAGAACAGGTTCTAAACTGTTGTGTGAGGTTAAAACAAGAGGCTTTCTCCCTGTTCACTAGTAGGGACCATACCTTCAAAGTCAGCCTCTGGGCCCTCAGTCCCTCCAGGATACTGTGGCCGCCTCCAATGAGGTCATCCATGCCGTGGTGAATGTTGTGCAGGGAGGAGTTAAACTGCAGGGACTCATCCATTGGTATGGTGGTGTCAGAGTCCTATGGAAAGAACACAGGCACTTTATTGACGTGGCCTCCTCAGCAGCTCCTGGGGTCCCACCATACCTGACTGCTCTGCCATTTGGCCAAGGCCAAGTCCGAACAGCCAGACAGAATGATGCCAGAGTCACAGAATACAACAGGGAAGAAAAAGCAAAGCAATGGTATGCGGAGGCCTCCATTCACCAAGAAGCGGTTTCCTCAGGATTATCACTGTCCAAATGAATTCCACTATAGTAGTATCATTAATTTCTGCCTCTGTATCACTTCCTCATTTAAGAAAAACTATTCCTTCAAGATTTCACTGAGTTTTTCCTAAAGCCTTTCTCTGATTAGTTGCCAAGATAACTGTTCCAAACGTTCCTTTACTTGGCTTTCTCTTAATGCAGTATTACATGTTTGCTTTATTTTTTCACTATTTTATCTATAGCTTATCCCTCTAATTAGATTGAGATTAAGGATCAAAGCAATCAAGTTTTCTACTGAGACCTGATTATGTGAACAATGGGAATATACTTCTTAATGGGAAACAGAAGTTTGCTAAGAAACAAAGGGGGAAAAAAGAATACAGGTTGAATACACCTTATCTGAAATACTTGAGACTAGAAGTATCTCAGATTTCGGAGGAGTTCAGATTTTAGGATATTAGCAAAGACTTTACCAGTGGAATATCCTTGATTTGAAAATTCAAAATATTGGTTTGGATTCTGACGTATTCTGGATTGTGGACTTTCAGACTTAAGGATGCCCCACCTGTACTAATCAAGTATTTCACAAGCCACTTCACAGGCTCATCGGGACACACTCAATCCTCACTCTAGGAGGCAGTGACTCTAATTATCCCCATTTTTACAGATGAACACACTGGAAGTCAGGAAGAAAGAATAACTTAGCCAAGATTATATAGCTGGTAAGAGATCTAGGAGGGCAAGAACCCCAGTACTGAGTGCAGGCCTGCTGCTAATCGCAGTGTAGAGAGAAGCCAGTCCTGGTGCGGACAGGAGCAAGTTGTCACAGTGCGACTGCTCTCTCCTATCGAGCAACGCTGCTTTTACCACTTGGTCCCCAATTTCCATTGGCACCAAGAGCTTTAATAATTTTAATCATCCCTGTTAACACTGGCCTGGTAGAGCAAAGAGTGATGTTCGCTAATTTTCAGACACTTTCTACTCTCTCAGCACCTTAGTGTTCTACATACTGCTAAGGCTTAGTGGGTCAAAAGACACCTGTGCTTGAAAAAAACAAAAGGTAAGCATTATTGAATCTTTTCATAAACAAATCTTTCTTTCTTTCCCACTAATAGGCCAGTGTCTCTCAGAAAAATATATCATAGCCATTATATAGCCTCACTTGAGACAAGAAGCAATAATTGAGTTCATTCCTAGTATGGAAAAAAAGACAAAGAAACAAAATAATCTTGAACCATTATCCTTTGCCTAAAAAATGCTTGAATGCAACAATATAACTATCAAAAATCCACACCCTTTTTTTTTGGTATTGGAGAATGAATCCAGGGCTTTGTACTTCACCCCTGCTCCCACACCACTGACCTCCCAGCTTTGAGGCCAGGTCTCACCAAGTTATGTAGCCTGGACTAACTTGCAGTTCTCCTGCCTTAGTATCCCACAGTGCTGGAATGACAGGCGTGCACCACCACACCCAGTCCTGTAAATATTTTAGTATCTCTCATAGTACACTAAATTTTTGAACTGTTAATTGTTGTGACTTGACTGTTTCCTCTGGAGAAACAAAAACTATGTAGACCCATTTTGACATATTTAGAAAAATTTACTGCAATGCATGGCTGGAGTAACAAGAGTTAAAATACCTGCAAAGTGGAAAATGATAGGAATTCTAATGACAGGCTTAAAAAACTGACATCTCTCTAGAAAATAAACCCCTCAATAAGAAACAAAATATAAAACCTCCCAAACCATTACATTTACTGGAGCATATTACACAGGACACAGAAAAAGGCCAGTACATTCTATAGTCATCCATGTTTGGGGAATGATCCTATTGATATTAAGGGGCTAGGACAATGGTTTCCAAGAAATCAAACATGAAAGCTAAACAAGCCATTTTCAAACAGACTCAAGTCAAGCAGGTCATCTAACACTAAACCTCTGTTAACAAATTCCTCCAAATTGCTGCCCAGACCAGAGGCAAAAACATTTTAATGCATTTGACACTGGAACCACACACATACACAGCACAATGGCAATTGCCTGGAGGCAGCTTTGAAATGTGCCTTCTCTACAAATGATCTAAGTTCTAATCATCTGTCTCCATCGGATCACAAAAACATTTCGACCATGTGAACTTCCACCTTTCTGCACTGGACAGTCAAATTAGGTTATTTTCACTCTGCCTTTCCTTCAATTTAACTATGTTCTCTTCAGGTTTCTTGATAGGAAAACAAACCCGTCTCAGTCTGCTCTCAGTGGTAATGCACAAAGGCCCTTGTCATTTCCACCTGGTCTCATCAGTCTGTTTCACACCACATCCCAACTGCCCAAAAAGATGAAGCTCAGCGACCTGAGCTGAGTCCAGTGATCTCTCAAATGCCCACCAACCTTACCAGGCCTGGCTTACGTTAGTGGTGAAGGTCCGAGATAGAAGCTCCTCTCGCTGTCTCTCCTGTTGCTCCCTGGCATAGCGCCGATGCTGGAAGTTTCTAAGAGCCGTCTGCAGATGCTGGGCATCATACTTTAACTGGTCTACTCGACTGCAATTAATGGAGAGAGAAATTAAATTCCAGGAACCTAAGGGGGCACAATTAAGAGGCAGCGAGGCTTTGTATTCAGGAGAGGATATCTTTCCTTACCTCTCCACTCAGCAAGTATGATGTAGCTCAGTGATGTTCAAAGTAAAGAAGTAGACTTATGCTAGCACATAAGATTCCAGCAGCTTTATTTAAATATGTACTGGGGCTGGGGATTTAGCTCAGTGGCATAAGCACCTGCCTTGCAAGCAGGTGATCGTGAGTTCGATCCTGGTACCGATAAAAAAAAAAAAAAGATCTCTGGAAGCCCAAGGGCATCTTTGAGGTAAAGTATCAGTGAGGGTCTATGAAACTTTGGGAGCAGGGGCTGGGAGTGGAGGTGTTGAAGGTGTTTTCATTTTAATTTCATGGTACAGTATCAAACATCAAATCAGTATTTCATTATAAATAGATTGATGGAAGTAATTATTTAAGAATACAGCTTCATTTCAACACAAGAAGAACCTAATGAGACCCAAATAACAGAGCCATGCTGCCTGCCAGCATTAGATTTTAAGAAGCCAAGGGTCTGGTCAGAAAAAGAAACAGCGGCGCAAAATTTCAAAACACATCAAAGAAGGAAGGAATCACACATTTATGGGCTAAAAAAATCTCTCTGGCTTTTGATTTTGAGGGTTATCACTCATAGAACTGTACCCTGTTGGAGAAGACTTTACGGTTTCAGTGCTATGTTTTAGCACATACATGGAATCTTGGAACATTGTATGGCCTCCCCTGAGGGAAAGGCCTGTCTCGATGGGCCAAGGATATCAGAACCATGTCAAAGGTTAGCACTCACAGTTTGGCATTCTGTCTCTTATTAGGAGGCTCCTTGCTGGACAAAATCTCCAGGCGTTCTAGTCGGCTGAATACCTGGTCTATGCTTGCTTGTATTTCCTTTTCTACTACTGTATAAAAGAAAAAAAAAAAACAATAATTGCTGGAAAAGAGATAATGAACTTAAATTAGGATGATAAACCTATTTTTCCATATACAATAAACTAAAAAATACCTATTTCAAAAGGAGAAAAACATATACAAATCAAGGCATACTATGTTGTTTATATACATATTTGATACATATAAGATATGATAAAAACACATTTAAATTGTCTAAGTTTACTGCAGTAAAAGGCACACTGCCATTCACCTTCCTCAAAATATTCCTGCTCCTATCAAATACACTTATCCCACCACTCTTGCCACTTTCTGAAGCAGTCTGGAAGTCTTTTTTCATAAATGCCTTTAGTTTAGATGTTGTGGCTATCTTAATATCCTGAATCAATTCAAACTATTTCCCTTTCATGGTCATTTTCATTTTGGGGAAGAGCAAGAAGTTGCCTAGTGTCAGAGCTGGTGAATGAGGATAACAACACACTCATATTTTTACAAGCCTGCCTTTTCACTGGATGGCACTCGGCAGCCGCAGTCGTTATATTTCTTGATCATGCCTCCTGAAGACATGAACGATAACTTTTAGAACTGCTTCAGAAAGTGGCAAGAACAACAGTGTGTGTTCAAAGTGAGGGAGAATATTTTGAGGGGGACTAAACGCCCCGTGTCTTTTACTGCAACTAATTTTTTAAAAACTTAAATGCTCATATATTTTTTGATCATCCTTTGTGTGTGTATACAGTACCTACATATTTCAATTTTTTATAAGCTGTAGAATAAATCTATAGAAATGGATTTTCTACTTTTAATCTTTTTCCTTCAAGATTGGTCTTAAATATGGACGATAAACACCGCGTAAAAAGGAATGCCACTTGAATTTCCTACAGATGTAAGGTTAAAAATAAAAAGCACAAAGGAAAGGAAAATTCACATGGAAACATACAGAGCAGTGTTTCTTGAAAGCGTTCTATAACAATGAGTGGGCTGAACTGTTAGGATTCCCTGAAATTGACTATCATTAAGAAAGGCCCAGGAAAGAATCCACAGAGGTAAAGATATGATAATGTTCATTTTCCATTATTTCCTTTGATGAGACAGTCAAAATGACTTTTTCCACTTCGAATCATTTAACAATGAGACTGTTGGAAGGACAAAGTTCAATGGACAGAAATGGAAGCACACACAAAAGAAAACATCTTAGCTGCTGCTTGTCTCACCAAGAAGTGACAGCAGTAGCACTACCCCTTCCCAGGTCTTCACACTTACAGTAAAAATATGCTGTTTAAAGTAGGATGCCAGGGCCAGCTCAGTAGCAAAGTGCCCGCTTGGTAAATGCAAGGTCATGAGTTTGATCCCCAGTATCAAACAAACAAACAAAAAACCCATCAGGATGCCAAGGGAGACTGGGGCAAGAGATTCTTTGGGAACTGTGGGGAGAGAGGAAAAAAATGCATAAACAGGCATAGCATGAGCCAGGCAGTAAAGTGATGAGCTCTCTGGGAGTCTGCATGGCTGACTGAAAAAGGGGCCTTTTCTTGGGATTAAAAAAAAAAAAAAAAACCAACCTCAATTCTCAAAAAGAAATCATGGTGTGGGAACTAACCTAATTAATATTGCTATTCATTTCTGAATAATCCTCCTAAAAAGCCAGAGTTCTCAGCTCAGAAATGGCCAGTACCAGTTAAACATCTCTGAACTTTTATGGAGCGCATTCCTCTAAAGACTAGTTAATTAGATTAAGACAGATGGGGAACGGACCTTCATTCCTATAGGGCCATGTCAGGTTGAGTGGAAGGGTAATGGGGGATAAGACTTGTGGGACTCCAAAAGGCACAATCAGGGAAATCAGTGACTTTGCCATAGGGTTTTTCTTTCTACCCTAACAACAAAACTCATTCCGTGCTAAATCATCAAGCCCCTGAGGCAGAACGCAGTCAGGAAACCCAGCCCATCAGCCCCGTGTCATCAGAGAAAGGACTTTAGTCCCCATAGTTAATTACTCACAGTGCAGAGCCTGCTTGTCTGCTGTCTCCAGGCGTCCCATGTGAGACTGGACCTCATGGACCTGCCTACCAGAGGACGAGAGAGGACATGAGTGAGACAGGGATAATCAAGAGGGCTTCAGTCAGGAAAGATAATTCTTCTGATGCCAGCATGTAACTGATTTAAACTGACAGCCAAGCTGAACTGTAAAATTTGTATGTGGGGCTTTAGGCCACACATTTTGGCATGCTTTCTGACATGCGAATTTCTAATATGTGAATGCTAATACTAATAACAGTGATAAGTAGCACTTAGTGCTTGCTGTATCTAAAACACTGCTAAGTCAATAACCCTGTGAGTAAAGCTCTATCATTGTCTTCATTCTATAAATAAGACAACTGAAACCCTTAAAGGTTATGTAACTTGTTCAAGGTCAGACAGAAAGTGATAAACTCACCCAGATCCAGCCAATCCCACCCTCTGTTCTATGACCCAGTGTGCTAAGCTCTGGTCTGGACTACAAAGAGTCAAAGGGCAAGGGAGATATAATCCTTGTCCTTGAGAAACAATGTAATTAGGAATGACAGGCTGGATAGACATGAAAAAGCCCTGAGAAGATTTACGAGAAAACCAATACATATAAGCATAAACAAATAGAAAGCTGAGGAGCTATGCACAGTGGCGTGAGGAAAAGGCAAACAAACAGACTAGCTAGCCGGCCAAGAAGGCATAAGCTGGCAAGTCTGTGGGTGGAGGCAGTTCTGAGCATCGCTCTGAAGAAGGGAGACACAACTCAGTGAAGGAAGGTATGAAGGAATTGCTACCTGAAGAAAAGGCCTGCAAGGCATGTCACGCAGATTATAAGCAGACTGGTCCACTTGCAGGTGAGTCAGTTAAGAGAGTAGTACAGAATGAGACATGAGTTCGAGGAAGCCACACAGAGGAAGGCCCTAAAAGATAGGAATCTCCTGTTTGGTAAACATTTTCCCCTGGTAATAAAAGGTAAGTGCTATCTCATCTGGAAATGTAACATGGGTTGCAGACATCAGGCCCCAGAGCACTCTGAAGGTTTCCCAGTGCCGGGCCAACAGTACCTTCGAACCCTTCTGAGGGGTCCCATTATTAATCCTTAATATATTGCTTATGCTAGCCCCAAATCTGCCGCCTGGTGCTTAAGTCTCTTCACAGTAGAGCCCACATGGAAGGGCCTCATCCCTAAGGCTAGAGAGAAAAGTCAGCAATCCTCCTTCACTATGCGCACTGCAGAGCGTGACCATAAATCCACCAATGCTAGCCAAGAGTCCAAATCGGGCTTAGCTCACCTCTAGTTTTTTCCAAGGCTTCCAGAACCTAAGTCATCTACGGACTTCCACAGTATGCCTAGGCAAGCCTTGTAATCCTGAGAGGTAACTAGAAATCACTACCAGAGTCTCCGGATTAGAAGGTTGCTTCAGGAAGGTAGTCAGTCCAAGGTATTTCAGAATCAGGGATGTGGAGATGTGGAAACAGATACAGGATGCAACTTGAGGTAAACACCTCAGGGAATGTCTGCACTAGGGTAACCATATGAGTAACTATAGAAAACTGGAAGTAACATGATGGATAGAAGAACTAAGGTTTTACTGAAGTCCTTGATGTAGGCAGTGAGATAAATCTGCAACAGTGACTTAAGCAAATCACAAAGTTGGTGGCAGGGACAACAAGGTGGGTGGACATGACAACAAAACACAGCCAACTCTGAGGAAATAGGTAGAGGGATGATTTGTTTTGCCTGCTATTAACATTTATTACAAAAGCCGTAATTAAAACAATAGTGGTGGCAGTGCAGAGAACAAAGGACAAAGCTAGACAAACTCTAATCCCCAGACTCAGAAGAATTTTCAGAAGCAGTCTTATATTTTGGGAACTTTAACCTAAATCAGTTGAGAGAAAATGGATTCCAGGGTATTTGTAGTTCAATAGTAGTGTTTGCTTAGCATGTGCGAGGTCCTGGATTTTATCAGTACCTAAGAAGAGGAAGAGTAGGGGGTGGGATGTGAAGAAGAGGAGGAGGAAGAAGAGAGGGAGGAAGAAAATGAGTTACAACAAATGCTGACAGTTCATTTTGTTGTTCACATGGAAAAAAGACACTTCACTAGGCACACCAAAAAAAACTCAAAATGGTTTAAAACCTAAATGTGCTGGATGCATGCCTGTAATCCCTGACACATGCCTATAATCCCAGCATTTGAGAGGCTGAGGCAGGAGGCTTGCCACAAATTCGAGGCCAGCACAAGCTGCACAATGAGTTCAAAGTCAGCCTGGACTACAAAGCAAGATCCTGTCTCAAAACAAAAACAAAAACAACCTTCTCCAAAACCCACTATATATGAAAAGCAATGTTTTCAAACTTTCTGAAGAATACAGGTATGAATAAATGACCCTGAGTTAAAGGAGTTTTGTTTTGATGAGACAGGGTCTCATTCTGTAGTGCAGGCTGGCCTTACACTATTAGCTCAGCCTGACCTTGACTTCAAAGCAATCCTGTCTCAGCCTCCCAATGCAGAAGGATTCTGCACCCATCGCAGAAGGATTTCTGCACAGAACACCCATCACAGAAGGATTTCTTATACTAAACCCCAAACCACCTCCCCAAAACCTACAAATCACAAAGAAAAGGACTGACAAACATGACTATATTAAAACAAAACATTTTTTTGTACCACAGGCACCATGAAGCAAAAAATAAAAAAGATGACAGACTGCAAGATACCTAGAGCAAACACAGGACTGACGTCAAGAATACATCAATGAAAAACTGTTAAGTCAAACGTAACAATTATTTAAATGGACAAAGGGCAAATGACAGAAAATAAAACCCATGTGATCAATAAATATGGAAAGAGATATTTGACCTATAGGTAACTCAGGAAAACACAAATTAAAATCAATGAGTTCATAGCACTCCTATCAGAATGACAAACAGGGGCTGGAGGTTTAGCTTAGTGGCGTTAGCACCTGCCTGGCAAGCCGGAGGTTGTGAGCTCAATTCCCGGTCCAAAAAAAAGAATGACAAACAGTTAAAAGTTTAAGAACATAGGCAGAGGGCTGGGGATTTAGCTCAGCGGCATGGCATAAGTGCCTGCCTTGCAAGCAGGTAGTCGTGAGTTCGATCCCTGGTACTGATAAAAAGGAAAAAGGCAAAAAAAAAAAAAAAAAAAAGAACACAGGCAGTAACATGAATGTGAGGAAGCTAGACCTCTCTAACCTGGCTGGCAGGATTATAAACTGGTAAAACAGTTTAACGGGCTTTTGATTAGATCTAGTAGAATCAATATGCATCTATCATATGGCCCAGGATTTCATTTCTAATAGTATTTCCTAGAGATTCTGGTAGATATGAAGAAGACAGCCTCAAAGTATTTCCATATCGGCCCACAACTCAGCACCCATAATTCTGAAATCCAAAAAGTTCTGAAAAATCAAGATTTTGTAAGTCTGTTGCAAACTAATTAGGTGGTGAAAACTGACCAGATATGAAATTGTGGTTTTTGTATTCCACACAGTAAAAAATTTCCCTGCAACTTCTCATGTATCCTCTACTGCCCTTATGCTGAGGATGTTACATTACATAACAGTGTATACAATGTATTTCTTTCCTAAAAGCTAAAAGAATGCTGAATTTCATAGCAGTTTTTCCTTAAGGATTTCAGGTAAAGGACTGTACATATATAGCAAAAAATAAATAGTGGTAAGAATCCAAGTGTTCATCAAGAAGGAAATTAACAACTCAGCAGTTTAATTAAACTGTAAGGCTGTTTAAATCAGAGAGCTAGATCTACTCATATCTGTTTTTTTGGTACCGGGGATTGAACTCATGACCTTGCGCTTGCAAGGCACATGCTTATGCCACTGAGCTAAATCCCCAGCCCAGATCTACTCATATCAACAAGGAAAATAAGAATCTTTATAGTAAGACAGTATTGAGTAAAAAAAAAAAAACCCAGTAGTGTATATCAGTATCATGTTGGTACATTAAACACACAAACAGTAGTATAGATTGCTTGTAGATAGGGAGAATAAAATCAGACAGGAAAGTCTGAGACAAGGTTATGAGGAAGAGAACAGGTACAAGAGCTTTTAATCCAATTCTGTGTCTAAATCAACAGTCTGAAGCGGGTGTATTAATAATGAGTCCTAACATATGGGTTGCTACTATTTTTATGTTTGCAATATTTCACAAATAACTAACTATACTAGGCCGCCCTCCAGGTGTTAGGAGCCAAGGGTTGGCCAGGTAATGCCGTACATCTGTAACGTGAGCTACGAAGGAAGCTGAGGCAACAACTGCAGGCGGCAGGCTAGCCCAGGCAATTCAACAGATCCCGTCTCAAACACAACAGCTAGAAAGGGCTGAGGAAGTAGCTGGGGGGCCCTGGGTTCAAACGCCAGCCAGCACTTGAGAGAAAGAGGACCATTACTCACATATTCAATAAATAAGCAGGCTACACTATCAGTGGCCTCTGGGAAGTGAAACTGTGGGTACGTGGACGTGGGGAAAGTGATACATGGAGGGTGCTATAGTAATTTCATGTTGATTTCAAGAGGCACTGTAGTTTCTCATGATATTGTGTGATCAATATGGCTTCATGATACTGATTGAGGGACTTGTGGAGGGCTAAACAACTATACCCAAGGGGTAATACAAAGAATTCCTAGAATTCCACCACAGGGCTGCCACTGACTTTGTTTTGTTAAAAATTTTTACAAAATGATTGTATGCACAAGAAGTTCATATAGGTCTTTGTGCTATATTAAGTGTTTAGGATGTTCTATGATAAAACACTTTTTAATTAGAAGAGTAAGATAACTTTGTCAGGGATGAAAAACACTGTCTTTAAATTAATGTTGAAGTCAAGTGCACAAACATGGACTAACAATTCTGGAAGCCACATGTTAAAGAAACAGGTTTTCCACAATAAACGATGAACAGGACTGTTGGGGAAGAGTCTGGAACTCAGAATTGTCCAAAGAGCTTATGAAACCAAGTCTCTGGGAAAAAGAAGGAACAAATCCACTAGAATAGGGCAGCTGACAGAGTTGACATATTAGGAGGAGAAATCAGTTTATTTCTTGTTGCTGCTTCTTAAAGGAGTCCAAGAGCCACAATGTACACATTTTAAGATGACAGATTTCAACTTCACATAAAAAAACAAAACAAAACGGCAGGGGAAAAGTCCTTACATGTTTAAACACAAAAACATGGATTGTCTTGGGTCTTACAAAGGTCTTCACAATCAAAGTCAAGGTTGGAGTAAATCCTGTAGTTTCCTTTAAGTCTTAAGATTCTATGAGAACAGTAGGAGAGACGATAGTAATACCCTGAAAACAGTAATACCCTAGCTTTGTATTGCTATTTCTTAAGTTGAAAAGGATAAACCTTAAGTAACTGCTGGAAAACATTACTGACTTCCCCCATTCAATTTCTATTTGTTTTGGATTTGGAAGGCGGGGCAGGCACCCAGAATCAAACTCAGGACCTCATGCTTGCCAGGCAGGCACTGATGCCACTGAGCTAAATCTCTGGCCCCCTTTGCTTTGAATCAATTAGAGAAAATATAGCCAATAACATGATTCCAAATTTTGTATTTCTTTTTGTCTTTTTCCTTTTTATCGGTACCAGGGATCAAACTCAGGACTGCCTGCTTGCAAGGCAGGCGCTTATGCCACTGAGCTAAATCCCCAGCCCCAAATTTTGTATTTCACGTTGTGAATAAATGCAAACACCACAACAAATATGAATCAGCCAGTGGAAACTACAAAATGTCTATAATGAGAAAACAGTTTCAAACTGAAATTGGAATTCAGGTAACCCACTTAGAGCTGACAAGGAACAGGTGCTACACAACATGACCTGGGAGCACAGAAATAAGAAAATCTTAGCCCTGTTTAGCATGAGATCCACTGTGAGCTTGGGTGACAATATAGCCAAGTAAAGAACTAGTAGAAGTAAACAAAGGGAACTACTGCCACTTTTAAAAATGGCTCACAGAAGATACAAGGATTTTACCCATCCACCTCCACTAAGCATGACTATGTATGCATGTGTCTCAACATAAACAGTTTAGAAGTTAAAGGATTTAAATTATGTACAAGTTAAGGAACAATGAGCAAGTCATTCTATTCCTTGGTGCCTCTATCCCAACTGTAAAAGAGGCATACTAATTTAACAATACTTAAAAAAAACCTACAGAACCCAATGCATTATGAAAATGCTGTGTAACCTACACAGCCTTATGTAATTTTCCTGATGTTTTTACATTATTCAAAAGTAGTAAGTCCCATCTGGTCATTTTCACATTTAGCTTTTACCTCATGAAGGGGAAAAAAATGAAAAGGAAAAACTGGTTTTGAGATTACAGTGTTTTAGTTTTGGTTTTTTGAGACAGGGTCTCCCTAGGTAGTTTAGGCTGGCTTTGAATTCACTATGCAGCATCCCAGGGTGGTCTGGAACTCACAGCAACCCTCTTGTCTCAGCCTCCCAAGTGCTGGAATTACAGGCATGTGCCACCAGGCCTGGCAGAGATACAGTTCTTGAAATCAGCTGTTCATTAAAGTCACCTGGAAGGCTTTTTCAATACAGTTTCTTGTGTCTCAGAACTACGAAGGAACTCTAAGGGACAGGATAAGCGACTGATTCCGGACTACACAAGGAAGTTACCTGGGCACCTTTATAATCATTGAGATCTCAAAAACAGAAGCCTACTTGCTCCTCTGTAAAGTTCACCTTAATGAAATATTTCTTAAGCACAAATGTTTGCTTTTCATTTATTCATTGTTCAGATAGTTCAGACGTTTTCAAAATATATTACACTTGCAGCGGGTTTGGTGGTACACACCTGTAATCTCAGCACACAGGTGGGTGAAGCCGGAGAATCACCAGGTCTTGGACATCAGCCTGGGCTACAATAGTTACATTTAAGACCAGCCTAAACTACCTAGTGAGAACTTGTCTCAAAAAGTCAAAGGAAAAAAAAGAAGACACATTGCTTTAAAGTGTTGACTAAATGTACTTTCATGAACACAGCATGAGATAATCACAAATTGGGTTCAAAATCCTGATAAAATTAATATGCTTGATTACTGTGTCAATTCAGCAACAGATTAGCTTCAAGGGACTAAGTCCACTATGCCTTATTATAAAAGATCAGCACTTTCTCAGTAACATGAGCATAACTTTGTTTCATTACTTTTCCAAATAACCCAGAATATTTTAAAAAGCCCTTTCGTAAAATTCTTATATATGAATAGAGCTCCTAGGATAAAAGCAACCTGTGTCATTACAAAGTAGTTACTTCACTGCACCCACTCAAATCAAACATTTCCTCACCAAAGTAAAAGAGAAACTCTTTAAGTTTAGGAAATGAAAGCATAAAGAGAGTCAGCTGATTCCTGTCTGATTCCTAGCTCCTCAAAGCATTTCTTTTGTTGAGAATTCAATACAGAGGCTGAGTACTTATTTTATTCTATTTCCAAACCTGAGGAGTGTGTTCGTAAAGCGTTTTCATCAGGTAAAAACTACAGCATACATCTGAAAGCTCTTAAAACAGATTAGGTAAAGGTATAGACCTCAAAAAATTGAAAGCAGAGACTAAAAAAGATAAAGGTACATTCGTAACAGCATTATTCTCAATAGTTAAAAGGTGGAACTAACCCATGTCCATCAACAGATGAATGGATAGCATGTAGTCTATAACATACAATGGAGTATTACTCAGGCATTAAAAAGAATGAAATTTTGATACATGCAATAACACAGACAAACCCCTTAAAAACATTATGCTGACAGAAATATGCCAAAAATAAAATGCCAAATATTGGATAATTCCACTTACATAAGGTATCTAGAAAGGGTAAATTCAGAGTTAGGAAATAGAACAAAAATTATCAGGCGTTCTGGATAGAAGGAATGGGACATTACTTCTTAGTAACTACTGAGTTTTGGTTTGGAGTGATGGAAAAATTCTAGAAATGAATAGTGGTGATGTGAACCGTGAATATAGAGGTGATGTGAGCTCTGAATATACATGTCATTGAATCACACACTTAAAACGACAAACTATTTGTGTATTTTGCTATAGTAAAAAGTAAACATTTTTCAAACAACAGGATACGAACGGCTCCCTATTACCATATCCGACTATCGCACACAATTCACAAAGTTCCCAAATTGCAAAGCAATATGAATAAAGGACACATCAAGGAATTTAATTCATGAGAAGCTAAAGCAAAACTCGATTTCCTTAAAGATAACCTGTAGCCAATTATAAGAATACTGAATGCAATCTGCGTAAGTTTCTTTGTGCCATAAAAACGTGGCCCATATGTCAAATCTGAATAAAAATACTTTTCCTACGTCCCTAGACTCGCCAACAAAATTCAACTATGGGCAGAAGCGACGACTCCTACTTGGCTCTTCTCACAAATTCTATCAAGCTGGAGCAGTGAGTTACCAGATGATGGCCAAAGTACTGCAATCTGCAAGTGCTACTTTCCCTTTACCTAGTCTACTGTGAGTGCAGGTAACCAGGGCTTGCAAACCCGAAAAGCTATCTGGCCTAACACCTCCACGCCCGAGGCCGGACCCTTGGTCCGCAGCCTACCTAGGCACAGGGCCAGCATTTGAGAATTTACCAGTGGCCACCGGCGGAAAGGGGGGGCCTCCGAACTGACAGACCCAAAACCAGGGAGTAGTCTTGCCTCGCCTAGACCCCTCCCGCTCACCGACGCTGCCCTCACTTGTTCGTTTGCTGGTACAACGGCTCCATATCGCCAGCCCGCGGCAGTAATTCTGACCTCCTTGGAACACGTCGTCACAGTCTGGCTTCCGGCTTCCGGCTTCCGGCTTCCGGTTTCAGGACCCTCCCTCCCAGGCCCGGTAGGTTCCCGCGGGCGCGCCTTACTGCGGTGATTGGGAAATCAGAAAGGGAACAAGAACAAAAACAGGGAAGGGAAGATTAAGTGGAGCTACCTGCGCAGCTCACAGGGAGTGATAGGAGGATGTAGGTATTTGCAGAAGCCTTGCTTCAGGATTGAGTCAGGTATTGGATAGGACAGTCGCGGGGTACTAGCGTGGGGTCCTCAGAGCAGCGTTACCCGAGAACTACTGTCAGCTGTGGATCTAAAGTCACGCACTTTACAGCTTTGCTGTCTCCAGTTTGTTCGCTCGATAGCCCGCCGGTCTCATCACTCCTTTTCAGATTTGACCCGTCCAATAAACCTATACCGAATGAGGAAATCCTGCCCACCAAAAATGTGTATATACAAAGTAGTATTCTGAAAGATAGGAAATGCCAAGACTCAAAAAGTGTGTTGTTTTTGGGAAAAAATTCGAGAAAGACTTGAAGGACGTAGCATTTGAGTTGGCGCTTGAAAGTACTCGGACCCTTCTGACTCCCCATAGACCCACTGTGTCTCCATCCTTGCAGTTTTATCTGCAGATCCGAGGGAGGAGATGTGCCTCTCCCTAACAAGTTAATGCTTCTATTTTCCTGTATCCTGGTGACCTCACATTTTTGTATCTCACCCGTGTACATTCTTTCTCTAAGTTTTTCCACGTATTCTCATATTCATTGAACATCGACTTTGTGCTATGCACACATTTCAGGAAGTCTTTTGGGAAGGTTAATCATACCCACAAGTGAAATTATCAAGTAACATATAAGCCACTATTGACACAGTACAAAAAAGGGTTTATGGACTAAATAGCCTATGAATAGAACTTTCAAGCATCGATAAAATATTTTGTTTTTTCTTTTTCCTTTTTGAGACAGGGTTTCACTATGCAGTTCAGGCTGACCTTGAACTTACTTTATAGCCCTGGTAAAGTTTTGGCTGGACTTGATGGCACATGCCTGTGATCCCAGCACTCAGGAGGCTGAGGAAGGAGGATTGCCATGAGTTCAACGCCAGCCTGGGCTACATAGTGAGTTCAAAGCTAGCCAGAACTATATAGCAAGAACCTGCCTCAAAACAAACTCCCCCCAAAAATCAAGAAAGTTTTAATAGTGCTGCATAACATATTAATCACTCTGTGTCTCTTGTATTGGCCTGGTAGAAAAGGAGGGTATTTGGAGCAGAAGGAATATGTCAAGTACAGGGAAAAAGTGAGGAAGAATTGGATCTTTGATGACTGCTATTAAAAGGAGTCTAGAGCCAGATCATGGGGACCCTTAAATGTCATGTTTAGTATATTTTATTTGTAATTTTTTTTTCTTGTAGATAGTTTGAAGCCATCAGAGGTTGGATAGAAACAAATTTCTCAAACAAAATGCCTGCAACTTTCTTTTGGTTCTCAGAGCATCTCCATGCAGTGGGAAAGACAGATTAACAAACTGAAACCCAGAAGATTTCTCTACCTCGCAGTCTCTTAGCCTTCTTGCCTGTGCTTATGCCTTCTTGTAAACAGGCTAGAACTCCACCCCTCCATCTTAATGCACTTTTATTTTCTATCTCATTTCTTTTTCTTTTATGGCTAAATCATTTGGATAATTGATCCATACTGTTAGCATCTATAGATGCCTTGGCCTCCAACCTCGCCTTCATTGTACTAGAACAGTTTTCCAGGCTTATCAGAGCCCACCTGGCTTATTCCAGTGGTGGCCTTTCATGGATCATCCTACAATGAATGTTCATTGAGCTCATAGTGTGTATTAAGCACAATGCAAGGGCCGAGGTAGGAAGCTGAGTAAAACACCATCTTGCCACCGCAGTTCCTTAATGTATTATAAAGAAATTTTTTACATAGATGAGTATAATACTCAGTGTGGGTTACAGCTAATTGGGAATTGTGAGATGATAGAGAAGGACATTTAGCCTTGTTTGGGGATTCCAGAGGGATACAAAGAGATAATACTTGAACTGACTCTTGAAAAATAGACCCAGTGGGGAGAGCAGCTCAGCAGAGGGGAAAGACATAAGCAAAAGTAGAGATTTCGTTTTTTAGGTGGTGGAGGATCATTGAAGAATTTCATCTTTGTAGTCACATGAGCAGATTTATATTTCAGGCAGGTCGCTCCAGCTACAATTCAATGGATACCATGGTTGGAGGGGGAATTGGATAATGGACTGTTTTACTAGTATTTTATTGATGAGGGATGCTCTGAGAAATTTGTATGTCTGGCTACTTGTCTATATATTTATCTTGGGAGGTCTGACTCTAGGATTTGTGGGACCCCCCGACATAATTTTGAAGGCCTTGGCTTTTCAGAACTTGCATATATCCATTTATGTAGCTCTTCTTGTCCAGGCCCGCATGCTATTTATTTAGAGCAGTTTATATCATTACTCATGAAGCTGCATTATCTTTCACTGTCCGTGGCTTACATGCTTTGTTAATGATGACATTAATGGCACATTTTGCCCAGAGGAAAACATGAGTAAAAATTCACCATTCAGAATTTTATAGTGTAAGTGTGCACAAATACATAATGTCTTTCCTTGGTGTGTGTGTGTGTGTGTGTGTGTGTGTGTGTGTGTGTATTTTACTGGAGTACTGTGGCCTTCACACTGGACTACATCTACAACCCATTTCTTAATTTTTTATTTTGAGACAGTCTCACTAAGTTACTAAGTTGCCCAGACCAAGTTTAGACTTTTAATCCTCCTGCCTCCTCCCAGAGTGCTGGAATTACAGGTGTACACCACCACGACAGGCTTTCTCTTGAATTTCTTAGCCCTTAATCACTGTACTCCAAGAATCTAATCTTTTCAGTGTTGGCTGTGCTCTTGACTTCTACACACTGAAACTGGTTGGAGCAAAAAGAGACATTCCATTCACGCAGGGGATATCTTGGCCCTCACCTGGCACAGTTAAGGCTATCCCAAAAGCTCATCAATTCACTGTGTTGATCAAAGGCAAGAGTGAACATTGATTATAAAAGTTAGTTTGCACTAAGGAGTAATAATCTCAAATAGAAACAACACACATGGCTGCTTCTGTGGGTACACATGGTATAAAGCTGGTAGAGGGATTGGGGTTGCCTGTACCAACTAGAGTTAGTAAGCTCCATGTGAATCAAAATGCTGCTATTTTCACTATTCTGTGGGTCAGAAGCAGCACCGTGGTCATTACTCAGACTGGCAAGATCCATGGTATTGACCCAGACAGATGGCTCAACCTCTAGGGTTGATGGGAGACCAATAGCCCAGAATCCTGAACTCCTATATCCAATATAAATGGGAATCTCCCAAATGTATCAAGTCATTACCATTCTTTTTTTTTTTTTATCGGTACTGGGGATCGAACTCACGACCGCCTGCTTGCAAGGCAGATGCTTATGCCGCTGAGCTAAATCCCCAGCCCCAAGTCATTACCATTCTAACGTGCAATGCCATGAAAGAAATACTGTACTAACGAGCAGAACTAATGTATTTTCCAGGCTGCCCTAGACAACCCCGTAAAGCATGAGTCCTGAAGCTCTTTACAGCATATGGCCAACTCCATGGATGGAGTGGCATGTCAGAGACAGTATCCTAAAGGAAATAGACTGAGATGACCCAAGCCACTGAAAAGGGATTTAGAAAATTTCAAGAATAACTTTCCAAAGTGTGGCACCCCTGAGCACCTGGCCTGAGACCTAGACCACGCACCTTGCTTGCCCAGGTCTCAGAGAAGTTATATAGAAATACAGCAGTTTCATGTTTGCTACTGCTCCCTCTGAGAAGTAATGTCTAGTACCATTCCCTCAGAAGCTGAGATGGCAAACTCTGTGGTCAGGTGTCTATTGCTACACAGCAGACTACATACTAAAAATCCAGAGGCTTTAAGTCATCCATTTTACTATATTTCTTGCTTTCATGGAATAGAGACTTAGGCAGAGGCTCAGCCAGGCAGTCCTATTTCATGTGGTTCTAGAGTTCCACAAAGCCTAAGAAGCTAAGTCTGAAGAACCCTGCAGCTTCTGCCCAGCCTTGTACAGCACCCACTTTAAACCCTGGACCACCATGGAAAAGTCCATCTATCCTGAGGCTGTCATATAAAGGCCTCGTGCAGGAACTCTGTTCAACATTTCCAGCTGAGTCCAGTCTTCCAGCCATTCCCACCAAGTGACGAGACATAAGCATAGCACCTTATACCTTCTACGATTGTCTGCCTGATAGCTGAATCACACCACATGACCTCTGTAAACTCTGTAAACATGGAATAGAATGGCCAACTCAGCCTCTGCCTGAACTCTTGTCCCATGGATGGATGATTCTTAAGCCTGCAAATTTTGAGGTTAGTTTGTTTATATAGCATTAGATGCCTGACCTTGAAGAATATATGTTCTAGTTGGATGACAGGGTACAGGGCTTATAAATAGTAACAATGCAAGATAATGTAGGAGTAGGAAGGACAACTCAGGATGCAGGAAAGGAATAGATGTGGGCTTTCCAAAAGAGATGAGTTTTCAGCCGTATCGTTAAGTAGAAGATGGAGATGTATGGAGAGGCAGTCCTGAGTTGTTTCTGGTGAGTACAGAAGTAAAGCAAGAAAGGTGTTGGCAAAGCCAGCAAATAATTTAGGTAGTCCTCCTGGCTAGGGCAGAGGATTTCTGTAGTAAAAGAAGGTACAACTATAATGCTGAGTTAATCAAGTTACAAATAGGAAAAATGCTTTGCCCCTACACTGTGACACAGAGAACATCTTTAAGGCTTTAGTCTTCAGGTGATGGGACACTACTTTTTGTCCCATAAATAGTGTTGCCAGAAAATCAATGTGGTATTTTCCTGTCTCTCTTCCTTTTGTTTGAACTTCAAGAGGTGTTCTAGAGTTCCAGGATTTTGGACACCAGCTTAGCCTGTTCTCTTTATGGTGTGACCAACTTAGAACACAGCCCTCTAAAGAGGACTTCTTTACCATCCACATTGATGAAACTTAATTCCTGACTCTGAAAC